CACACACTCACACACTCACACACACACGCACACACACACACACACACAGTCACACACTCACACACGCACACACACGCTGTCACACACACACACACACAGTCACACACTCACACACACACACACACGCGGGCACACACACACACATTTTATATACTTTATTTGATTCCACATTACAAGTCAAATTTCATTAGGAATCACATTTTTTGAATGATCCAACAGATTAATGCAAATCCACACATTGTTATGGATTATACAGTTCTATGGGTACAGGAAACGCCTTTTCCAAATAAACATGCTTCCTATAGTTGCTGAGATTGAACAGTACTTTGCCAACTGTTTAGCCCTTATTTTAGATAGCCCCCCAATGCAAAGTCCACTTGTGCTGTTCAGTTATTTTCATTTAGACTAGTGTTGAATGGTTTGGGATTACCAGAATTTAATGTTACTGAAAGAAGTCTCTTCTGCTCACCAAAGCTGCATTTATTTGATCAAAAATACAGTAAAAACAGTGAAATATAATTTTTATGTATAGCAGCTGTTTTAAACTGTGTTAAAATGTAATGTATTTCTGTGATGTGCAGCTGTATTTTCAGCATCATTACTCCAGTCTTCAGTGTCACATGATCTTCAGAAATCATAATAATATGCTGATTTTGTGGAAACTGTGATACATTTAATTTTTCAGGATTCACAGATGAATAGAAAGTTCAAAAGAACAGCATTTATTTGAAATATAACTCTTTCATACCATTATAAATGTATTTACTGGCACTTTTGATCGATTGAATCTTTTTAAAAACGAGTATTAAATCAAACGTATCATAAGCTGATTAAGGAATGACGGAATTCAGAAATCAGCAACACTGACAACAACAACACTTCATACAATGTTATATTTTTAATACTTTATTCAACTATGTGCAGAGATTTGATTTCTGACGATTTCTGATTTTGCTCACATTTATGTTTAATATTTTTACACAATATTATTTTTTTATTACTTTACTTATTTACATCTGCAGTTTTTTTAACGCGCTCTATTTAGTTTTTATCTGTGCAATTCTTCATCTGCACTGTAAGAAAAACAAAAATACATTAAAAGTACAAAAAAATATTAATTTCAATATTTTATTTAACTATGTGCAAGGGCTTTTTTTAAAATGATTATTTTTGCTCAATTTTTTATATATATAATTTTTTGTCTGTGCTATTTTATTTTAACTTATTTATCTGTGCTCTATTTTGTTTTTATCTGTGCACTTATTCATCTAGACTGTAAGAAATAAATCAAAAAAAGTACTGGCAGCTCATTATCAGGACATTATCCATTAATTTTACGGACATTACCGTTAACCCTAAAACGCAACGCAATTCAAAAATACAGGTAAAACACCTGTAAAAAGTAAATATGAATTCAAAAAATTAATTCCTTCAAATTAATACAATACTGTGCCCTATTTTTATGGATTTTTTGTGCGCTCTGTTTTTTTATCTGTGCACATTTTTCATATCCGTGTTCTGCTTTTTTTTAGCTGCCATGTTTTTCTCTTTCTGCCTGTTTTTATGTCCTGCAGCTTTAGTTTTCTCTGCTGCACAAGGTCAGTAGCATCAGCTTCTTCAGGACGTCTCTGGAGGGCCTGATGCGTCTCGACTTCATGACGTGATCAATAGCCTCCTCCACCATCATGTCATGGCAGATCATCAGACACGCCAGAAACAGAGTCGCCGAGTGCTCGACACCCTGCTTGCAGCAAAGCAGCACCTTACCTGAGGAAATAAAAACAGAAAGACGGTCAAAACCTCATTCCTAGATTGCAGAACACTTGATAAAAGATGAGAAATGGAGTGTGTTTGTGTCTCAGCTTACTCGCTCGCTTATCCAGGGCCTTGTCAATGAATTTGGCAGCTGGCACGAAGTACTCGCTGATGTCAGAACAGCGTCTGTCCGCTGTAGGCAAGCCTCTGTAATATCTGGACCTTGTATTGACCGATCCTACTATGTCTTCATCATTAAATGTTCCCAAGTAATACTTCAGGTCCTTCTTTGGGGCTGCAGCGTTGAGGACGTGAGTGATGCACATCTCCTGCAGCGCATCTCGGTCTGTTGCGATGTCTCTGCACAAGAACACAGCGGCCTGGGTTAGTCTTTCATGGACCACAAAACCAGTCATAGCAGATTTGAAAGCTGAATAAATAAGCTTTCCATTGATGTATGGTTTGTTAGGATAGGACAATATTTGGCTGAGATACAACTAAGGGTGCAAAAAAATCAAAATATTGAGAAAATCATCTTTAAAGTTGTCCAAATGAAGTTCTTAGCAATGCATATTACTAATCAAAAATGAAGTTTTGATATATTTACGGTAGGAAACTTACAAAATATAAATTAAGTTCTTAGCAATGCATATTACTAATCAAAAATTAGGTTTTGATATATTTACGGTAGGAAATCTACTAAATATCTTGATGGAACATGATCTTTACTTAATATCCTAATGATTTTTGGCATAAAAGAAAAATCAATAATTTTGACCCATACAATGTACTGTTGGCTATTGCTACAAATATACCCCAGCGACTTAACACTGCTTTTGTGCTCCAGGGTCACATATGACAGAACAATGAGAGAAATACAGTTGTGTTGCAGACTTACTCATCTCCGATGAAGACCCTGGGCCAGACGTTAGTCAAATGTCTTTCTTTGAGCAGTGTGCATTTCTTCAAACGATCCTCCAGTTGGAACACATTTAGAAGGACGTCGTTTTCCAACCTTGAAAGCTCAGATTCCACATTAGATTCCGGCTCAGGAACGCTTGGACCCGGTGCACATGATTCCTCTGGAGCAGCCAGATCCCATTCAGGCTGTGGCTTGGGAACGCTTGGACCCGGGGCGTACAACTCCACTGAATCAACCACATCCCATTCACATTCAGGAGGATCATCCAGATCCACCTCAGGGTCCAGCTCAGGAACGCTTGGACTCAGGGCATAAAGTTCCACCGAATCAACCAGATTCCATTCACATTCAGGAGAATCAACCAGTTGCTCTTCAGGTTCTGGCTCAGGAACGCTTGAACCCGGAGAGTACAGCTCCACTGCATCAACCAGATCCCATTTAGGTTCTGAAGGAGCAACCAGATCCCATTCAGGTTCTGGTTCTGGAACGCTGAGGTCCATCTCAGGCCATGCTGAGATCCCAACAGGCTTCGGTCTGTTGTTCTGGAAGAAGGTACCCCTTTTCTTTATGTTCCTCACTGTAACATATTCTGCTTTCTTGATCACGACGAAGCCATGAACTTTCTTAATCTTCATCGCTTTGGTACTTTCTGATAAAAGAAGAAAAACAAATAATGAGGCATTAGAACCATCTCTAACCAGATTAAACATGAGTAGTCCAAACTGTAAAGGCCCGTTCACACCAAGGACGATAACTATACAGTTAACGATAAAGATATAGTTCTAAAACAGTATTAAAGAATAGCAGAGTCCACACCACAGCTATAACGATAAAGGCACAGAGAAACGATATCGTTGGAAAAATTGTTTCAAAACTATTTTTTTCCAGCTGATGAATGATACAAATGTATTTTTCTTAAATTACTTGTAATTTAATTAATTTAAAAATTACCATGAAAAATAAACACTGGTTTTAGAACACCTAAATGATTTTTATTTTATAATAAAAATAATAAATAGAAATGTTGCCTTGGCAATTAATAGAAATATGCTTAAATACTGAAAAACTAAAACTGAAATTAAAATGAAATAAAAGCTAAATTAAATTTTTTTTTTTTTTTTGCTTGTATTTTACTTATATTTCCCGTATTTGCTTATATTTTACTAGTAACTATAATCAAGTTATAATTTTATAAATTATAATGAATTATTAATCAATAACTAATAATGACAAAAGCACATGACATTTCTTTAAAGAACAAAACAAAACAACAACACTAAAATTACCATAAAAAAATAACCACTAGTTTTAGTTGAGCTCGGTAAACACACAGAGTTCAGCTCGAATCATATTCATCTGCATATGAACTGTATTTAATGTCATCTGAGTCTAGTTTTTGAAGATGAAGGCGTCACACAACCTGTCCATGATTCATCTGTCAAACGAGACCAGATCCTAAACAACAGATGAATTTAGTAATACAGCACTCACACTGTTCTCTTTTGATCAGTCTACTGTGTTTTTGTCCTGACTGTGTTTGATGAGATATTTACGTGTGTTTTGTCCCAGACGCTCAGTGAAGGGTGTTGGGCCCCGCAGCACACAGGAACCTAATTACAGCTCGGTCTGGTCTGATCTGGTCTGGTCTGATCTGGTCTGGTTTTTGGCTGCAGGCGACAGCGGCTCGTTTCCTTCAGTCGTCTCTCAGCAGCAGCTGACGCTCCAATTAAGCCCAATGTGACATTCTGTTATTAGCAAACTAGTCAATTTGGCCTCGTGTGCTGAGAGACCTTTAAGAAACAGCGGTCGATGAGACTCTGGAGACACTAGAGCCGTCTGTCTGTCAACTGAATCACCCTCAGCAAAACACTGACAGCTCCATCAGGTTATTTATAACCGCACTAATAAACACTGCAACAGCTGAACTGTGCTGCACGAAGATGACTAAACTAACAGATATACTGTGTGCATTAAAAAAAAGTCAAATGTATTTAAAATGTAAAAACTCATGTGTGACCCTGCAGCACAAAAGCAGTCATAAGCAGCACAGGTATATTTGTAGCAATAGCCAACAATACATTGTATGGCTCAAAATTATAAATTTTTCTTTTATGACAAAAATCATTAGGATATTAAGTAAAGATCATGTTCCATGAAGATATTTTGTAAATTTCCTACCGTAAATATATCAA